TACATATCTTAGGTGCGAGAAGGCATATCTCTTTTCATCTCCTTCACTTTGTTCTTGGAGGAGATCTTGACGGGAGCAGAGGAAGTCTTGATAGGGGTAGTATTGATGGTAAAAACTTCCTTGGCGGGCTTCTTCCTAGTCTTGTCTACCATTGGGGGCAAACACCTTATCCTTCTTGAAGTCGGTGATCGGTTCCTTCTTCCCATGATTTGCGATACTTAACTTCATGTCGTGGGAACAAGTTCCCAGCTCCTCAAATGTTCTCGATAATGTAATGTAACCCCTAGTGTATTCATTGAACACATTTATCAATGGCAGAGGTTTCAGAAAGCCGATCTTTGCAATCCAAACTTAATGAATGCCACATATTGATGTAGTCAATGATTGGTTCCTTCCATTGTTTCGTACTTGTCAGCTCCAGCATGCTTACGGTACAATGAGTGATGTAGAAGTAGATGAGGAATTCCCTTTCAAGGTGGTCCTAGCTAGTGATAGACTCAGGTTCGAGGTCAATGTACCAGTTAAGGGCATTACCTTTTAGCGAGCGCAAGAACTACTTGACGAGACAGTCTCCCTCTGTTCCAGCATTATTGCAAATTTTAATGAAATAGGCAATATGTTGCTTAAGATTGCCCTTTCCATCGAATTGCATGAATTTTGGTGGCTAAGAACCCCTTGGCATCCTTAAGGCGTCAATCTTCTTGGAGTAAGGCTTTGAGTACAACATAGAGTCATGCGAGCTTCCTTCATACTGCACCTTGATCGTGTTTGTGATAATCTCTTGCAGTTGTTGGATAGAGAGATCTCATGAGCATTGCAGCTTTGTCCACCTTCGGTTTTCTCCACCAGAGACCCCTCTTCTTCGTCAGTTTCTTTTTTGGGTGGATTAACCTTTAGGTCAGCTTTCTCATCATGATGCGCCTCTAGACGATTAACGAGTTTAGCAATCTGTAAGTATTTTTCCTCCACGGTCCTTATCAGCTTTACAATTGCTTCGTTTATTTGGGCTAGCTGCTCCTCGATGGACATTGCACTAGTAGTCATAACTTGCATGGCTACAGGATACGAGCTGCTGCTTGAGTCGGCATCAGAACTCAACGAGTTAGAGTACCTCTTCGGGCTTTCTTCCCTTAATGCTCTTAGTGAGGCCAGGGTGATTACAGGCTCACACCTCGGGTGTTATTGCTCCTTCGGCAGAGTTGATGTAGGGGCAGAAAGCAGGGTAGAGAGAGCTCTTGCTTTGCTTCAGGTTGTGACTCCCAAAGTGCCACCATTTGCGGCAAGGATGTTCTTATTCTTCGCATTGGTTGCAGGAATAGTTTGATCCTTTCTTGATGCCATATATGTTTCTTATGGATTTGAAAACAAAAATGAGAGGCAGAAAGTTCCCACTGGGCATGCCAAATTTGTAAACACGAAAATTCTATAACGAATGAAACGAGAACACATGTACAAAGTAGATTTGTATTGATTTGAATTTGTAGGTTACAATCTCTATTTACAACTTTCCTCTAATTCAGTCTTCAAATTTGATGTAGATGTGTAGGTTGTTGATCTAAGGGTTACAATGACTTCATCTCGGACGAACGAATGAACGATTGCTTCATGTTTTGAGCTTCAAACGATGCTTGGATAGTCTTCACCTCAAGCTTAGGACTATGGCAAACGGAATGTTGATGTAGAATTTCGTTGATTCAAGGGTCTTGGCGACTTGATCTTGGAACAAACATCATTACAAGTTTTGAGTTTGCAATAAAGTCTTGAAGGAATCGGCACAAGTGCTTGTTAATTCTTCAAAGGAATGCTTCTTCTTTGGTCAAAAGAAAGCTTTGGCTTTGGTTGTGCGTTCTTTGAAGAGAGCTTTGGCAGTGTATTAGTCTTCAAAGATTTGGCAGAGGTTCTCCTTTTGTGAGAATTTCGGCCATTCAATGTAGAAATTGTCGACCTTTATGCTTGTTTGAGGACCTTGTATTTATAGACTTCCAAAGCCCATGTCTTTGAGTGGATTAGGCTTTGAAATGTTGATTCCAAGTTGAACATATAGATATCCATAAAGTGAACAAACCACCACGTGATATAGAAAGTGATGGTTTTGAAGTATTGGAAATGATAATGAGGGGCAGGCTCCCTAACTCAAAAGGCATAGGCCTTTACATTCCTTTTCAATTTCTTTACCAAAATAATTGCAAATGCATATTAAATATTCAGTGGTATTTAAATCATAGGTGTACATGAAATTCTAATGATCATAACAATACATCATCGACAAAAAAAATACATCATTTCGTTTCAAAAAACAATACATTATTCATTATAACGAAGGTTCTTCTTATTTCTTGCCTATACAAATACTGTACTAGTTTATTTTAATTTTAGACGACAACATGTTAAGTAAAATTTATCCTAGTAATGATAATAAGAAACTCTCATAATAAAAATAAATAATGACTCAAACATTTAAAAAAAAAACTTATATAGAATAATAATACAAAACTATATATTTAATATAGAATATATTGTATATATTAATATGGCTATTGTATTTTATAATAAATCTTTTAGTAATTAAACTTTAAAATTATCAAAATATTTTTTTTCTTAAAGGGTCGAAACGGGTTATCCACATGTATACATGTTAAGAACCCGTTAATAACGGGTTCTTAACGTGTCACCCAATAATGACCCAATTAGTTATCGTGTTGATTCGAAACCCGTTATTTTCATGTCATTTTCGTGTTGTGTCAGAAACTGCAGGGTCTAATGCTTAGTACAATCAAAATTCACATTATACTCACACACACTAATTAGACACACTGCACAACATTCACACACAGTCACATACACACTCACACACACCCACACATACTGTGTAATACATACACTCATTAGACACGTTGCATAACATGGTTCTCTCTTTTTGAAGTACTTTGTATTAATTCTATTGTGAACAGTTACTCATTAGCATCATTCAATACTTAAAATAAAGAAGAAGTCACCCTATTTACCCTTCTAGATTGCATTTCAAGTTATATACTATACCTGAATAAATTTTCTAGATTGCATTTCCTATATGAATTCTATATTTAGGCAATGAACTGTTGGATATAACCAAGGCCCTAATTCCTAGTCACTTAAATTGATTAAAGTGGCAAAGCAAACCTTCTCGCAGTTTGTCTTTCAAAAAAATCCTACTTGGAGTAAAAATTAACAATAGTAAGCTATAGGATAACTAGTAAACTGAATTCGACAGACAAAAAAACAATTTGACCACTACACATATAACTCCATAAATTACTTACCACATCAACCTTGAGCGGTCTAACATGTCTAAAAGTCTCAAAATCTTCTCCATGTTTAGCTCTAATCACCTAAAACCACTGAAAAGGAGGAAAACATATAAATTCATTAAAATTCTCTACCCACGGATATGTTAAAAATCAAAAGCACTAATCATTCCAAGGAAAGGATCCAAAACTCATTCCTAAGTCTCTTCATCTAGGTACTCGACTCCGTGAACTTTGCTTTATTTCCATTATATTGACACACTTTGTCATCAAAGTTAGACGACTCTAATCACTGAAATAGAATGAACCGTAAACTTTTTCTATAAATAAATATTTCAATATGTATAAAACGGAATTAAAAGAGAAATAATCAATTTTTTCCAATTCTTAGAACACCATTATCAGCCTAATTGGCAGAAATGAAAGTAATTATACGCTGATCACTTAATCAACTTAATCATAGATAATTAGAATAAAATAAAGATCCATCAATTCCTTCCACCATATTTTTGCACACACACAGTTCTCCCTATAAAAATTCCATAAAACTCATTATTAGGAGAGAAATAGAAAAGGAAATTTAGAAATTGTCTATAAAGCAAAGGAATCCAATCCAAAATGTACATGTGCACCTCATTGGAATCAAATCAAATCCAATAACAATAATAAATGACTTATTAGTTATAAGTTAGAAGACTTAGTAAAACCATTTACCAACTTAGGAAACCTTTGCCCATATGATTTGTAAGGGAAATTTTATTTGAACCCGTATAACTTTTTTCTACACCCAACTTAAACTTTAATTTTAATTATCTTTTTTACTTTATTGCATAATTAACATCAAGTACGAAATGAAATTAACAATAAAATTAAAACTTATCAATAAACCCACTCTATAATTAAACTCAACCATCACCCCTTATTTCACCCAAATAATGCATGTAATGGTTTCATACGATCTTCTAGTGCATGCATGGTTCTTTCGTTTGATTAAATCACTACAGATACAGTACCAAGGGTGAGACATGATTTATTCAAGCCATGAAACTGGCTTCATCTACTTCTGGTATGGATAGATTATATGAAACTTCGCATGAGAAGTCCTTTAAGAATTGATAAAGTCATTTCAGATGCGAAAGAGTAACAATATACCTAATTGACTGAACTAATGAGAGAGATTTTAAACCATGGAGAAAAGGGCCATGCTTCAGTAGGTGGTTTGATTTCAACTTTGATGAGCCATCTCCAAAAAAACCCAGTGCATGGTGTTTATAGTTTCACAACTTGAAATGGACTTCTGTTTGTAAATTTAGGATTTGTATTTTCTAAATGGGTGTAGAGAAAAATTATAAATTGAATTAAGTTTGTAAGGATAGTTTAGGTAGTAAATTTGGGTTTAAAGAGATATTGATAGTTTAATTAAAAGTAAGATGAGTGAAAAGAGAAAGTTGAGTGTAGAAAGAGGTTACAGGGGTTCAAATAAAATTTTCCGATTTGTAAGTGATATAATTTAAATGGAACTAATATGGGATGCTCAATAAAGGACTTAAACCAACTAACGAAGTAAAAGACTATGTACCTTTTTTCATGTTTCATATCGGATTTAGTAAATTTCTTTAATAAGTTGCGCACTCGCAATTGGATAAACTTAATTTGGAGGCTAAAAGTTATTTGAAAAGTAGTTTCAAATGGCATTTGATAACTCAAACAGAGAACATATTCAAGAAAAAGAAAAAGATGACATGTGAGTCGAAGTTACCAAGTATGTGCAGATGGCAAGTGATCTACGCCTTGTGCATCAGAAATTTATGTGATCCCTTGAAGTGCACTAAAACCTTCTTAAAGCATCTGGACAATATGAGTAGCACTGCTCAGACCACATCTTATACAACAAATACAATAGATATCATAATATATAGCGAAATTATGTCAAAAAATTCATACAAATATAATTACAAAAAAAAATTAAATAATAGTAATGATCTGGTTAATTGACCTTTATCATTATTTAAAGCCACTACAATAGATCCTCACACCAGAACCCTCTTCATGTTTGCCATCCTTCCTTTTTTGTCTCCATTTTACAACTTTCACACAAAAAATGTTATTCATATATTAGCTTTCATAGTTTCACGGATCCATCCTATTTGAACTTCAATATAGACAGAGGTGCAGATCTTTACCTTTCTCTTTTCTCGGTTCTGAAATTTTCGAGAGCTTCATCCACCTTTTCTTCAGTCCAAACAACAGATTGAGAAGCCTCTTTACAAAATACACCATACACACGTGCATGAATCAGAGTCGCTTCATTTGACATTCAGCCATGAAAACAAATGAAAGGGAGAGGTGGACTTGCTTTACCTTTATTGGTCTTGGGATTTGCAAAGTCCTTCATGAAGGCGAAATCGTCGATGATGAGTGCAGAGCCGATCTGAGCAAGGCACCAAATGGAGATTGGAAACAAAATCTATAAATCAACTAAAACCATATTTGCTCGTGACTATTTTGTGAAAAAAAAAAAAAAAAAAAAACCTAGGATTTAAGAGGAAGAGAGTTAAATGAAGGCGGACAGAAGCAGAGATTTGTGAGGGACAAAACCAAACTGAAAGGTAAAGTGAAGAATACGGAATCTATTGACATAAAAAATTGTAAAGATTCGAAAAGTAGAAAAGCAGAAAAATCCGTCAATCCTGTAATCAACTCTCTCTCCCACACTCCTCCCTTTCCCTCCCTCTCTCACTCTCTCTCTCAAATCCAGCATGGCTCCCATCCCCCAAATCTTCCCTGAATGACACGACCAACACAACCAACCCGTCCCAAACCCATAGTACAAAATTGCCCTTACTAACTTACCATCTTGACCATCAGATTTTAACCCTTGATGGGGTAGCCTCATCATTTTCACCCCCTAAGGGCTGGGCTTATGTCAAGAAATGAACTGAACCCACCACACAAAATGTGACCGGTCCAAACCAGAACCCAACCTCAATTAGATGGTAGTGCTATAAATAAAGCAAAATCAAAGGTCAAACCTGTGACTGTAGCTAACATATAGTCAATTTACTCCTCAACTTTATAATAAATAATGTTGATTGATTTCCGAAGTATAAAAATTAAAGAGATACTCATGCACGAGCTTTCATTTTTCTTTTTCCATACATTATTGTTGAAGGACATTTTTCAAACTCAAATTATCAAATTCAAAGATCGGCTACAACCCCCTTGGAGAATTGCATCCATCCTAACAGATTTTTTTTCTCTTTTTGGTTAAACGATAGATTTTGTTAAATTAAATGTTAAATTAACCACTAATGAAATTCGAACTCACACTATCATGCAAAAAATTAATTTATTTTCATCAATATAGTAAAAGATCAATTGTTCATCCGAACAGATATTGGTGATATCCATTTACGTGGAACACAGCACGCATACCGATAAGCCAAAATAGTTGCTGGTCTTTAGCTACAGGTGGACATTCTCTTCCTCATCAAAAGAAAAGAAAAGAAAAGATGAGGGATAAAACGTTTGGCATCCCAGCTGTCGCCATACGATGTGACACTTTCATGGACCCTCAAGTTTTCCTGGCCCCTCTCTTTAATTACCACAATATGTTGTAATCTCGGGGAAACCGTCATCGTTGAGGGGTCATTAAAGAGACCCAAACTTGCTCGTCCTTTTATGCGATGAAATTCAGACGTCCTTTTGTGCGATGAAATTCAGACGATTTACGATCAAAGAACAAACTGGGGTTTTAGCCAGTTATAATTATTAGTTAGGTATCACAATGTTCAGTTTCTTCTCAATTTTCACTAGGAGTTGTTATTGGCATTCTAAAAATCTCATTCTACACTTCAAACTTTCTATATTTTGAATAAAAAATACACTTATGAGGAATGTAAAATGAGATTTTTAGAGTACCAATAACACTTCACTTTTTTCATTTATACAATGTTTTATCTTTAATGTAACATTATAAAACAAGAACATCATGTTCGTCTAATACGCATTTGTAGGAAATTATATGATTATAATATTTAAATTTATAATATTGTAATATTTAATTTTGTAATAGTCAAGTATTTTAGTTGAATTCAAATTCAATTGCATGAGTTGCATTTCGTTGGAACTTTAGGAATAGTCACAAGGTTTCAAAAGCTCTATATAAATTCAAGCATCCCATCCATTTATTATTATTATAATAATAATAATAATAATAAAAAGAATTTTCTCCAATGTCTTTTATTCTTTGTTAGTCAAATTCCAAGCCGTGCCTTGAAAATACATAATATATAAAGTTCGCCACAGTTCGCAGTGCTTCAACTTTGGATTATAAATTGTTCAATATTGGGAGATGGTTGCCTAATAAACTGCAAGCACGAGAGCAGGGGCAAAATTATGTACACTACATTTATACAAACCTCAATCTCCAAGTTTGTCAATTGTTTTTACTTTCTTTCTAATTGTTTATATTAACCTTATACACAATATGACATTGTGCTTTTCTATAATTAGTATTGTTGAATTTCTCTTTTAATATTATTTCCATAATTTCTAGGGAAATACCCCAAAATGAGACAATTTCCTAATCTTCTGACATAAATAGGATTTTTTGTTTTAATATACACAGAGCATGCACACACCATGCACAGTTACTGGACAGAAATAGGATTTTTTTTTCTACACCTTGAAATGACCAAATTACCCTCCCATATAAATGGGTTACCTAATCCTCATTTCTGATTTTGTAGAGAGAGAAACAGAGAGGAGAGAGAGAGGAAACCTCTCTCGCCTCCCCTAAGTTCTCTTACACCGTTGGCAACCTAAAACATGAATATCTGTATAGGTAAAACCCATCTTCCATTTTCCCTAGTTTTTGCTTCTCATGATCTTTATGACTCTTGTTTTCTTCTTCTTCTTTTTATGTTTGGCTTAAATTCTGCAAATTGTTGCAGTTTTGTAATGAAATTTGATGCTTTGATTTGTAGAAATGAGCTTAATTTTATTGTGATTTGTTGTTTGGTTGCACTTTTGAAGAAGAGATTTTGTTAGAGGAAAGTTGATTTTAGTTGATATGGGGAATTAAATTATGGGTCATTAGAATTTGGGAATAATTTTGGTACCTTTGGTGGAGTTGTGTCAATTGAAACTTGTTCATACTGTTTGTTATGATTTCCATTTTCTAAAATTACATCTTGGTATTGGTGGATCATTGGGATGATTCTTTGCAGCATATATATAGCTTCTTTAATCTTGAGATTCACATTGGATTATAAAGAAGTTTAAAGCTCTTGATCTAAGAATGGTTTTGAAGGATATACAATATAGTTGTACTAGTTTTTTGAACAAAAATCTTATTTCTTCTTTAACTTGAATCGACATATAGACTCTTCATCAGGGGTCGAAACTACGTCAATGAAATTCCATTAAGTGAGAGCATCGACAAGTGATTAAAGTTCCTCCCCAGCTATGCAGCACGAACCTATATTTGACCAGGATGTGGTTTGTGTCTGACCTAGCATAGTGTTTTTCTTGTTGTTGTTCATTCTTCTTTGAAGACGAAAAAATTATAGCGAGGCAGCAACGATCCCTCAGTGGTAGCACGCCATGTCTGAGGAATTTCTAGTCTTGCAAAAGATGTCATTCATTACCTTTCTTCCATTAAGAAAGGTTCACTCAAATCCCAAGAAAAATTTCTCTTTATTTCTTCTTTTCGTTATGGTAATGCAATGCAAAAGAGGTTCAGCAGAGGCTAGAAGAAGGCGACTCATGCAGACAGCTAACTTCTTTTCAATAGAAAGGAATAGCCAAATAAAAAATACCGGGATATAAAATTTGACAAGGAATACCCAATTCGTGAAAGCGGGGTGACAACACCTTTGTTTATAAAAGACGTCTAGATACCCTTAGCATGAAGGAGTGTGATCTCATGTGTTGGATTCAATGGATTATCATATGTTGTCATATGTTAACGATGATTTCAACTTCTGGAGAAAGATGAGCAAGAAAGGTTTGGTTCCAATGGCTACTGTTGTAAGCTTTAATGCTCTAATTGATGGCCTTTGTAAGGCTTCTGAGCTTGATGAATCACATTTATTATTGTACAAGATGGATTTGTTATTTAGGTTTTGTTGACAATTTTTGATAATTTATGAAAACATTTTGACAATTTGAATGTTTTAGCCTCTGTTGAAGGCTCTTATGAAAGACAAACCGAAGAAACTTGGTACAATATGTATCCAAATGAATGTTGTCGTTTATTTTCTTATATCATTTATAAATTCGTTATTTGATTCTTTTATGGGGTATTCCTATCCATATCGGTTTCTTGTGTCTTTTTTGTTGCTCTTATGATTGATTTACCAATAAGGAATGTTGCCAGGATTAGTGATATTTCAAAGTTTGTTTTTTCTATACATTTCAAATCTGCATATTGTGAGCGTCCAATGAGCATGTTCTACGCATTAAAGGAGGTCAAATTTGGGTTTGTGCTTAATTATTGTAGTCTAATTTTGACATAACGCGATTAACCACGACACAGAATCACGCCATACTATTGGAACCTTACAACATCGTGTTTTGGGGACTTAAACATTCTTTGTTCATGCTTTGTTCAGTGCATCTTTTCATTTAAGAAAGCAAACATTGTTAATGATATCAAAAACTTCTCCCTTTTCCACTTACTAATAAAAAGTACATGACAACTAAATTTGAAGAAAAGTAAAGGAAAGAAACAAATCGAGTCCCTATTAAAGCCATTTAATATATTACAAAAAAATTTCATTTCCTGATGCCACCAACATTCCACCGTAGCATTTCATGTGCAGTACTTATGCATGTACATGTGTGTTTACTGTGCATGTATTGTGAATGTACTTTTCATTTTCTATGCATGGCATCTACATTTTCTTTGCATGTCAGTCATTCATGCACAACACCCAACGAAAATAATAAAAAGATAGACAAGCATTGATGAGTGGGAAAAAGTGGAGGCAAGTTAGATTGATGACATGGTAATGATTATGTCTAGTTTTTAAAGCTTGTTGTTTGTGTATTTGTACAAAGAAAATTTTAAAAGTACAAAGTCCATAGAACTATGAATTTAGTAGTACATGAGAGACAACAAAATCAAACGCTGGAATTTACACGCTGCAATTATAACAAAATTAAATGAACAAAAAAAAAACTTAGTACCTATCTCTACCACATAAAATATCACAAAATATATTCACTTCCTGATGCCATTTACATGTATTACAAGTAGTGAATTTTTCATGGCCATATGCATCCCAATGCGTTCGGAGTGTGATCGGACCCTGTGGACTTCCACAGTCGCTGCAAGGTTTGATGGCAACATTGTCGTGGTGCAATTTTAAGATTCGGGCCCATACTTCCCTAAGCACCCAAAAATTCGACAAACACAGCTAAAACCTGTCTCAACATTCCATTCCACTTAACCACCCCGAGTTGTGACGGTTGAGAGAATAGAGAAGTTTGAGCCCTTTGTGCTTCGAATCCCACCTATGGCACACTAAGATTACATAATACATGTACATTGCTACTTGATGACCCTCTGAGATTTCACTTTTATGTCGCTGAATTCTAGCTGCTTCCTTGTTATCTCATAAAAGTATTGCATCCCCACCATGTAGAGGGCATCAAGGTTACGACACTAGATGCAGT